GAGACCAGGAAAGGCAGCGGGCAGAGATGATCTCCCAAGCGAAATGCTGAGGGAGGGTGGCGTTTGTGCACAGACTGCCCTATATGACATCATAACAACAGTCTGGACCACTGGACGGGTTCCGCAGGATTGGAAGGATGCCCTGGTGGTCCCCCTTTTAAGAAGGGGACCGCACAGACTGTAACAACTACAGGGGCATCTCACTCCTCAGTGTGCCGGGAAAGGTCCTGGCAAGGATTATTCAGCATCGCCTTGCCAGGCACGCTGAGAAAGGCTTGCGGAGCCCCAATGCGGTTTCAGGAAAGGGCGGGTCCTGCACAGATGCCATATTTTCTGTCCGTCTGCTACAGCAGAGGTGTAGGGAATTCCAACAAGACCTACATCTCTGCTTTATTGACCTGGTCAAGGCCCTATGATACCATCAGTAGGCCTGGGCTCTGGGTCGTTCTTCGTGCTTTTGGAGTACCAGACCCTCTGCTCACGATCATTAAGGACCTTCATGATGGTGAGCGGGGCCTCGGGTAAAACTACGTGGCCGGGAGTCAGAGCCATTCCCTGTACACCTTGGGGTGCGACAGGGATGTCCTCTGGCTCCCACATTATTTAACATCTATTTTGACCCACGTAGTTCGTGAAGCCTTCAATAGCTGTACCGGGGGAATCTCCATATGGTACAGATATAATGGGAGGCTAATCGATGCCCGGGTGCGGTCAAGGGATGGCTCCCTATTGCTCAACCACGTTATGTATGCTGATGACTTGGTAATAGCTGCTCAGTCAGAGGAGGAGTTGGAGACGCTGCTGCTGAGACTGGAGCGTGCCACTAAGAGGTGGGGCCTTACCATCAGCCCCACCAAAACTAAGCACCTGCCTGGGTATTTTGTACCATCGGACACTCCACCCCCAAAACTCCCAATCGGTGATGGGGCAGTTGTGGAGAGAGTGGAGAGTTTCCCATACCTGGGCAGTGTGCTTATGACTGGCTCCAGTTTAACAGCAGAGGTCTCACTCCGAATCAGTCGAGCAGCAATATCTTTTCATCGGTTGCGTAACGCTGTGTGGAAGCTACCTGGTCTGTCGCTCCGCACTAAGCTTCAGGTCTTCTCGGCCACGGTCATTCCCTCCCTTCTCTACGCTTGCGAAACGTGGACCCCCCTAATGGAACATCGTCGCCGGTTAGAAACATTTAGGCTGACCTGCCTACGATCCATCCTGGGTTTAACCAGACTGGATTGTGTGAGGAGCTCACAAATCCTTGAAAGATCTGGGCAGGGTCCCATCGGTGAGCTCCTCCGGCAGGCAAGGCTGCGATGGCTGGGTCATGTAGCCCGCATGCCCAGCCACCGCATGCCGAAACAGCTTTTGTTTGGCCGGATTGAGGGGGCTAAGCGGGCGCGGCACGGGCTAGAGAAGAGATGGAGTGATGTGGTACAGGAGGACGTGGAGCTGAGTGGACTTGCCGATGACTGGTACCAGCGGTGTCAAGATCGGCCTCTGTGGAGGAGGCTCGTGAAGGATGCTACTGGGCAGTTGGAGGCAGTCGCCCTCCAACAACAACGGAGGGCGGAGGAGCGACGCTCACAACAGCGAGCGGAGCGCCGGGTGGCTAAAGCACAGCAGGTTGGCACAGTAGGGGGCACAGGTGGTGCATCAGCCAGTCATCTCAGTCAGTCGACCCGTGGCACCTGGGTCTGCCCCGTGACCTCCTGCCAGCGGGCGTTCGACACTTCACGTGGCCTCAGGGTGCACATAGCCTGGCACAAGCGTCGTGGTGACGTCACCGCCACTTAGTGGCGAATGGCGGTTGTTGTTGTTGTTGTGAGTCAAAGAGTGTGTGTGTGTGTGAGAGTGTGTGTGTGTTAGTGCGTGTGTGTGAGTGATAGTGTGTGTGTGAGTGCGTGTGTGTGTGAGTGCGTGTGTGTGTGAGTGCGTGTGTGTGTGAGTGCGTGTGTGTGAGGGTGTGTGAGAGTGCGTGTGTGTGTGAGTGCGTGTGTGTGTGAGTGCGTGTGTGTGAGAGTGCGTGTGTGTGAGTAAGAGTGTGTGTGTGAGTGCGTGTGTGTGAGAGTGCATGTGTGTGTGAGTGCGTGTGTGTGTGAGAGTGCGTGTGTGTGTGAGTGAGAGTGCGTGTGTGTGAGTGAAAGAGTGGATGTGTGTGAGTGAAAGTGTGTGTGTGTGTTTGTTTTGATGACCCAGGTCACTCGCTCTTGCAAATGAGACTCCTATGCGGCTCTCTTGAGTTCTCTCCTGCTTAAAACACAGCACAACGTGCAACACCACTTGTCCCCCAGTCGCCTGTACAGCCCACAGCAGTCTGAGTGAGTGAGGAGAGCGACAGAGCGAGCTGGTGAGGACAGAGCGAGCGGGCGACAGAGCGAGCGAGCAGGCGACAGAGAGAGCGAGCGACAGAGCGACAGTGCGAGCGCGGGCGGCAGAGCGAGTGAGCGACAGAGCGAGTGAGAGGGCGACAGAGCGGGCGAGCGACAGAGCGACAGAAGCGAGCGACAGAGCCGGCGACAGAGCCGAGAGAGCGAGCGACAGAGAGCGAGTGACAGAGCGAGCGACTGAGGTGCGACAGGAAGCGGGCGACAGAGTGGGCGGGCGGCGAGCGACGAGGACGACAGAGCAGGCGACAGACGCGGGCGACAGAGCGACAGAGCGAGAGGGCGACCGACGCAGGGCGACAGAGAGGGCGACGCGGGCGACAGAGCGGTGCGACAGAGCGGGCAAGCAAGCTAGTGGGTTAGTGCCCTGTGAGCGTGAGTGCTCATGAGCGAGTGACAGGCAAGCCGCACTTTGAACTCTCCCGCCGCCCTCTCGCGTAGTTTTCCGACAGATTCTGCCTCCCTCTCTCTCACCCTCTCCCCCACCCCACCTCGTTTGTCGGTTCAAAATGTCTGCAGTCGGCAGCTGTGGCCGGACCGGTGGCATGTGACACGCGGCGCGATGGGGAAGGGTGGCGGCTGGTGGTGAGGGGGGGGGGCGTGCGTGTTCGCGCGCGTGAATATACACACGCGCACACGCACACGCACACACGCGCGTACTTTTAAACATAGCGCTGACGGCACCTGCCCGGCAGTTCGCGCGATCTTTTCCTCGCTGTGCGCATCGCCTCCTGGCTTCGTGCGAGAGGCTTCCCCCCCCCCTTCACCGTTCCTGTGTCCTGACGAGCCGGGGAATACTATTATTTTAATCTGTCCTTGTCCCCGCCGTCTCTTGTCCGCAATCACGAAGGTAAAACTGTGAAGATGTGAGATGTGTGATGTGAGTGATGGGTACGTGAGGTGAGTGATGGGGTCTGTGAGGTGAGTGATGGGGTACGTGAGGTGAGTGATGGGTGCGTGAGGTGAGTGATGGGTCTGTGAGGTGAGTGATGGGTCCGTGAGGTGAGTGATGGGTCTGTGAGGTGAGTGATGGGTCTGTGAGGTGAGTGATGGGTGTGTGAGGTGAGTGATGGGTCTGTGAGGTGAGTGATGGGTCGGTGAGGTGAATGATGGGTCTGTGAGGTGAGTGATGGGTCTGTGAGGTGAGTGATGGGTCTGTGAGGTGAGTGATGGGTCGGTGAGGTGAGTGATGGGTCTGTGAGGTGAGTGATGGGTCTGTGAGGTGAGTGATGGGTCGGTGAGGTGAGTGATGGGTCCGTGAGCTGAGTGATGGGGTACGTGAGGTGAGTGATGGGTCGGTGAGGTGTGATGGATCTGTGAGGTAAGTGATGGGTCCGTGAGGTGAGTGATGGGTCCGTGAGGTGAGTGATGGGTCGGTGAGGTGAGTGATGGGTCGGTGAGGTGAGTGATGGGTCGGTGAGGTGAGTGATGGGTCGGTGAGGTGAGTGATGGGTACGTGAGGTGAGTGATGGGTATGTGAGGTTTAGTGATGGGTACGTGAGGTGAGTGATGGGTACGTGAGGTGAGTGATGGGTCGGTGAGGTGAGTGATGGGTGCGTGAGGTGAGTGATGGGTCGGTGAGGTGAGTGATGGGTACGTGAGGTGAGTGATGGGTCTGTGAGGTGAGTGATGGGATTGTGAGGTGAGTGATGGGTACGTGAGGTGAGTGATGGGTCGGTGAGGTGAGTGATGGGGTCCGTGAGGTGAGTGATGGGGTCCGTGAGGTGAGTGATGAGTCGGTGAGGTGAGTGATAGGTACGTGAGGTGAGTGATGGGTCGGTGAGGTGAGTGATGGGTCGGTGAGGTGAGTGATGGGTATGTGAGGTGAGTGATGGGTACGTGAGGTGAGTAATGGGTACGTGAGGTGAGTGATGGGTACGTGAGGTGTGTGATGGGTCGGTGAGGTGAGTGATGGGTACGTGAGGTGAGTGATGGGTACGTGAGGTGAGTGATGGGTCGGTGAGGTGAGTGATGGGTCGGTGAGGTGAATGATGGGTACGTGAGGTTTGTGATGGGTCCGTATTTATATTGGATTCGAGGGATGCGTTCCGGTGATTCCTGTGAATAGGTAATTTTGCGGCGATACATTTTTAATGAATGACCTTAAACTACGTGAGATATTCAATCCATGAACGTTATCTTATCACTTTACCTCTCATCGCTTGATCTCTCTCGATGCGGCCATCGTCGCGCAGCGTGCTAACCCCTTCACGACGGCTCCCCACGTACAACAAAGACAAAGAACCCCCGTGTAGCTGCATGCCGGCTTTTGGGGCAAGTGCTGTTAGCGAGCAGCACTATGAGGGCCAGAACGGCACACGAGGGGGTGGGTGGCCAGCACCACGCCCGGCCGCCTTTGCCTCCCCAGTGGCGATGTTTTACACACCGCACCGGGTTCTCATTTTATAGGCTGAGTCGACCTAGGGCAGGCCCATGACCGGTTCGGACAATCGTCACCGAAGTTGGCCGTGAGCGGGAATGCGGACCCGGGCTCGCCGGGTTCGTAGCTCGGCGCGCTGACCGCCACGCCGCCGCTCAGCCCGGCGGCCGCCGCCCACGCCGCGCCAGGCCGATGCGAGCGAGGGGATCCTCTGTCCGTCTGCGCAGGTGCACGTGAAGGTGCGGAGGACTCGGACATGGCCCAGGACTCCCTGCAGTGCCTGACGCAGCTCGCGTCGCTGCACGGGCCCGTGCTGCCTGAGGCGGACTCCCAGCAGGAGTACCTGACGCACTACATCGAGGGGCTGCTGTCCATCATCGACTGGGTTAGTCGGCGGGGTAGACAAAACTTCATTTCTTTAGAGCTGCTTTTTTTAACGTGTGTGTGTGTGTGTCTGCCCCCGCCCGCCCGCACCTCCGATTAGCGCGGCTACGTGCCTTGCAAAAGCAGTTCAACGCACGTGGGCGCCGCCGCCGCATTCGCCGTTCGTGGAATTCCAGCTAACGCGGCTGAGTGTAACATCGCGAACGACGATGGCCGCGGAGATTGGCTTAGGGCGGCGGCAGCGGCATTTTCCCTGCGCCGCCGGCGAGATTCGAGAGCCCCGGCCCCCATGAGCGGAAGCGTCGGCCGCACCGCGGTGAAGGACCGCCGCCCTTCGTAGGCGCTGCCGCTGGCCAACGGCACTTTGCCCCGACAGTCTGTTAACGCTATACGGAGGGGGAACCTTTGCCTTTGTGCGCGCCGCAGGGTGGAGCTGGAGGATCACGAAGCGATCGGCATCTCCAACGTCGTCTACAACCTGATGAGCGCCTTCCCTCGCTCGGCGCTCACCGCGCTGCCCTCTGCCACGTTCTCCTCCTTCATCAGCTGCCTCACGCTCGTCACCTGCTCCTTCGGACGCTCCGCCGCTCTGGAGGAGGCCGTGAGTCCTCGCACACACTTTGGAAACTGTCGCTCTTGACTCGTCGCTATAACAACAACAAATACCAAAAAACACACGTACCTAAGAACAATCCATGAAGGCAGGGTGACAATCCAGGAAGGGCAGGGTGACAATAAAGAGCTTCCATAGCTCGTCGGATTTCGAGTTTTTGAAGAGCGTTGCCCTCAGTCTTTACGTTTGCCCCGTAGACTGAAGTTGCCCGTTAGACTAATGTTGCCCAAGATTGACATTGCCCTCAGTCTTACGTTGCCCGTAGACTGACGATGCCCGTAGACTATCGTTGCCCGTAGACTGGACGTTGCCCGTAGAAACGGTTTATGTTAGATCTTTAGACGTCACGGGAAGGCAAGCATGTGAATGGTCTCGCCCTCTCCTCCCTCTCTCTTTCACTCCCCACCCCCGGCCCCCCCTGCCGTGCGTGCGTACCGGCGCGTGCGTACCTGCGCGTACGTACCGTTCGCGTGCTGCAGCTGGACAAGGACGACCGCGTGTACACGGAGGCGTACGACCGCCTGCTGGAGTCATGGCTGAACCTGGTGCAGGACCACCGCCACTTCCCCAAGGGATTCTTCACGCAGCCGGCCATCCAGATCTTCAACTCCTACATCCAGTGCCACCTGTCGGCGCCGGAGGGCACCAGGAACCTGGTGGGCAAACGTCCGCCGGGCCGTCGGCTCGCGGTCGGACGTTGCGACGCATCGTCCGGGCTCGTGGTGGTTTTTGCTGTTGTGACTTTCTGAGCCCCCCCCCCAGCCCTCTCTCCGATTAGCACGGTTGCCTACGTACGGCGTGAAAGAAGTCCAACATCCATACAAACAAAGATCCCACCCCGTGTAGCCTGTAACAGACTGTAGGGGCAAGTGTTGTTAGCGAGCATCTATGAAAGCCGGGACGGCACACGAGGGGGTGGATGGCCAGCACCACGCCCGGCCGCCTTTGTCTTCCCAGTGCCGATGTTTACACATCACACCAGGTACTCATTTGGCTCAGTTGACCTCGGGGAGACACCTAGACTAACATTGCCCATAGACTCAACACTGCACCTAGACTAACATTGCCCATAGACTCAACACTACACATAGACTCACATTGCCCATAGACTCAACACTATACATAGACTAACATTGCATAGACCACTACACAAAGACTAACATTGCCCATAGACTCAACACTACACAGACTAACATTGCCCATAGACTCAACACTGCACCTAGACTAACATTGCCCATAGACTCAACACTGCACCTAGACTAACATTGCCCATAGACTCAACACTACACATAGACTAACATTGCCCAAAGACTCAACACTACACATAGACTAACATTGCCCATAGACTCAACACTGCACCTAGACTAACATTGCCCATAGACTCAACACTGCACCTAGACTAACATTGCCCATAGACTCAACACTGCACCTAGACTAACATTGCCCATAGACTCAACACTGCACCTAGACTAACAATGCCCATAGACTCAACACTGCACATAGACTAACATTGCCCATAGACTCAACACTGCACCTAGACTAACATTGCCCATAGACTCAACACTGCACCTAGACTAACATTGCCCATAGACTCAACACTGCACCTAGACTAACATTGCCCATAGATTCAACACTGCACATAGACTAACATTGCCGATGGACTCAACACTGGACATAGACTAACATATCTCATAGACTCAACACTGCACATAGACTAACATTGCCCATAGGCTCAACACTGCACCTAGACTAACATTGCCCATAGACTCAACACTACACATAGACTAACATTGCCCAAAGACTCAACACTGCACCTAGACTAACATTGCCCATAGACTCAACACTACACATAGACTAACATTGCCCAAAAAACTCAACACTACACATAGACTAGCATTGCCCATAGACTCAACACTGCACCTAGACTAACATTGCCCATAGACTCAACACTGCACCTAGACTAACATTGCCCATAGACTCAACACTGCACCTAGACTAACATTGCCCATAGACTCAACACTGCACATAGACTAACATTGCCCATAGACTCAACACTGCACCTAGACTAACATTGCCCATAGACTCAACACTGCACCTAGACTAACATTGCCCATAGCCTCAACACTGCACCTAGACTAACATTGCTCAAAGACTCAACACTACACCTAGACTAACATTGCCCATAGACTCAATACTACACATAGACTAACATCCCGTAGACTCAACACTGCACATAGACTAACATATCTCATAGACTCAATACTCGACAAAGCTTAAAATCTAGAATAGACTAACATTGCCAATAGACTCAACATTGCACATAGACTAACATTACTCTTTGGTTCTATTCGGTAAAGTCACGTAGGTGACTATACCGAATAGAACCAAAGAGTATGGATCCTTGCAGTCACGAAAGCTTCAAATCTAGAATAGACTAACATTGCCCATAGACTCAACACTGCCAAATGACTCAACATTGCCCATAGACTCAACACTGCACCTAGACTAGCATTGCCCATGGCTCACACTGCCAAATGACTCAACATTGCCCATAGAGTCATTGTTGGTGTTGTTGGGTACTGCGTTGATGGCCAGGCTGGACCAGGGTTGGGCGATGGCTCGGAGTCACCTCGGTCTACCGAGGGCAACCAGAGAGCACGGGCCGAGATATTCCTCGACTCGTCGCTATAACAACAAATACCAAAAAATACACGTGTGTAAGATCAACCCAAGACTCCAGAGTCACCATCCAGCAAGCCAGTCACCATCCAGCAGCCAGAGTCACCGTCCAGCAAGCCAGAGTCACCATCCAGGATCCAGATCACCATCCAGGATCCAGAGTCGCCATCCAGGAATCCAGAGTCGCCATCCACAAGCCAGAGTCACCATCCAGCAAGCCAGAGTCACCATCCAGCAAGCCTGTCACCATCCAGGAATCCAGAGTCACCATCCAGCAAGCCAGTCACCATCCAGGGATCCAGAGTCACCATCCAGCAAGCCAGGGTGACCATCCAGGGATCCAAGTCACCATCCAGCAAGCCAGGGTGACCATCCAGGGATCCAGAGTCACCATCCAGCAAGCCAGAGTCACCATCCAGCAAGCCAGTCACCATCCAGGGATCCAGAGTCACCATCCAGCAAGCCAGGGTGACCATCCAGGGATCCAGAGTCACCATCCAGCAAGCCAGGGTGACCATCCAGGGATCCAGAGTCACCATCCAGCAAGCCAGAGTCACCATCCAGGAATCCAGAGTCACCATCCAGCAAGCCAGTCACCATCCAGCAAGCCAGAGTCACCATCCAGGGATCCAGAGTCACCATCCAGGAATCCAGAGTCACCATCCAGCAAGCCAGGGTGACCATCCAGCAAGCCAGGGTGACCATCCAGGAATCCAGAGTCACCATCCAGCAAGCCAGTCACCATCCAGCAAGCCAGAGTCACCATCCAGGAATCCAGAGTCACCATCCAGCAAGCCAGTCACCATCCAGCAAGCCAGAGTCACCATCCAGGATCCAGAGTCACCATCCAGTAATCCAGTGTCACCATCCAGCAAGCCAGAGTCACCATCCAGGGATCCAGAGTCACCATCCAGGAATCCAGAGTCACCATCCAGCAAGCCAGGGTGACCATCCAGCAAGCCAGGTGACCATCCAGCAAGCCAGAGTCACCATCCAGGGATCCAGAGTCACCATCCAGCAAACCAGGGTGACCATCCAGGGATCCAGAGTCACCATCCAGGGATCCAGAGTCGCCATCCAGCAAGCCAGGGTGACCGCCTCACCTGCCCCGCGTGCGAGTTTTGCCGTCGTCTGCCTTCCCGCTACAGACGAGCAACGGGGTGAGCGGCCCCGACGAGGAGGAGGTCAACGAGGTGCAGGAAGACGACCGCGACCTCTTCGCCGACCAGCTGGCCAGCGTGGGGATGCTGGGCCGCACGGCGGCCGAGCACTGCGTCCCGCTGCTCACCCGGCGAGTGGACCGGGGGGGGCCGAGGGGAGCACACACGCGCTCACTCACTCGCACACGCTCACCGCACAGACACTCGCTCGCACACACACGTGCTGAGTTGATGCCCCTCCCCATCTGTGATCATCCCCCTGACCTGCACCTCCCCTGCCCCCCACCCCTGCCGCCCCCCCCCCCCCCCCCTGCCGCCCCTGCCCCCGCAGGCTGCTGGAGGAGCGCGTGTCGCGGCTGCACGGGGAGCTGCAGCGCCACCACCAGGCCCTGCTGGGCTCGCAGGCCGGGCCGGGCCTCGTGTCGCACGAGGCGCCCGCCGTGCCGCTGGACGACCTCTACGAGGACATCCACTGGCTCATCCTCGTCGCCGGTACGGGCGCCAACACCACCGCGAGGGGGGGCCGCCACACCCACCGCCACAGTCACGGCCACCGCCACAGTCAAAGCCACAGTCACAGCCACAGTCAAAGCCACTGCCACAGTCACGGCCACCGTCACAGTCAAAGCCACCGCCACAGTCACCGCCAAAGCCACAGTCACGGCCACCGCCACAGTCACGGCCACCGCCACAGTCACGGCCACAGTCACGGCCACCGCCACAGTCACGGCCACCGCCACAGTCACGGCCACCGCCACAGTCACCGCCACAGCCACCACCAGTTACCACACTGACAGTCACCGCCACCGCAACCCCACAGCTACTCAAACAGCGACCGCCAGAGTTTCCACACCCATACCTACAGCCACCGCCACCTTCGCCGCCACCTCCGCCGGCACAGCCACTGCCACCGCCACAGCCACCGCCACCGCCACAGTCCACCATCGGGTATCGCGCGAGCGCTCGCGAAAAGAGAGAGGGCGAGAGAGAGAAATGGAGAGCGATGGAGCGAGCCAGAGGGTGCACGAGAGAACGAAAGAGAGCGAGAGAGAGAGAGTGAGAGGAGTGAGAGAGATCGGGCGTCTGGCAGTGGGTCGCTGATGAGGGGGGCGTGCTTCGCCGTGTGCATCACTGCTTTCGGAAGTGTCGGCATTGGGAGCTGCTCCGATGCGTCCTCCGTAGGGGGCGCGCTGCCCACCAACGGCGCTTCGCTGTACGTGGTATTTGATAGTGATCTCGAATATTTCGCTTAATTTTTCCTTTTACAAAAGATCATTTTTACATTGCCGTCATGATTTTCTTTCATTTCTCTTCTCTCTGATCTGTCGTTGTTTTACCGTTGATTTATTTCACTGCGACTTGTTGCGTTTGTCGGAGAAGCGGCGGTGTTGGTGTTTGTTGACGAGATCCGATTTAAGAGCTTCTTGGCCCACGGGGTACTTGAAAATAAACTGAGCTGAGCCGGGGGGTGGGGTGGTGGGAGGAGGGGGATCTCTGTGTCTGCGTACCTCTGCGCGTGTCGCCGTCGTCGCCCGCAGGCTACGTGCTCGCCGACGACACTCAGGGCGAGACTCCGCTGGTGCCTGCCGAGATCATGGAGTTGTCCATCCGCCAGTCCGAGGAGGTGGACATGAACGCCACGCTCAGGGTACTCGGCTCTCCGGGCGACAAGGCCTGCAGCGTGCCAGGCTGTGACAACACCGACTACGTCATCAGGTGAGGGCCACGCAAGTGCCACCCCCCCCCCTCTCCCCCCGGCCCACCTCATGTCGCTCGAACGCTACGGTGGTAGATATCGTTATGTTTTTCTGTGCATGTGCAGTGTTGAGTCGGTGGACAGTGAGTCTGTGGGCAGTTTTGAGTTTATAGGCAGTGTTGAGTCCATGGGCAGTGTTGAGTCTATGGGCAGTGTTGAGTCCATGGGCAGTGTTGAGTCCATGGGCAGTGTTGAGTTTATGGTGCAGTGTTGAGTCTATATATGTACATATGTTGAACTTCTTTCGCTCCATATGTCGCCAACCGTGCTAATCGGAGGTGCCAGTCCTAATTAAATTAGTTTGTGAACCTAGATGATGATTTAAAAGTGGCAGAGCTTCCAATGGCTTCCTATATCGGTAAGGAAGAGCATTCCAGACGGCCGCAGAAGCGCGTCTGAACGCGCCGGTCTTTGTTCGACGGCCAGCCAACGCCGCTGGGAGGATGGACGTAGTTGGCGTGACGATGGTTTAAGCTCCTTGACGCGATCAGCGAGGTATTGTGCTTCATTTGCAGCAAACACCTTTGTGTGTGTAGTGAGTCCAACTGAGTTGCAGATGTTGTTCTTTAGAGGCAACACTTTTATTGTAACATCAACCCGTTAACACAATGGGGTAACTGCCCCTTCACCAGATGCAGCCTATGGTGGTGACCACCCAGTTAATTACTCTATACATCGGAGTTACAGCTGCGAAGGGTCAGACCCTCACTCAGGTCCCCGGCCACGTGTTGATGCCTCGTAGGACGTGGAGCTTCCAGCTTGTAGAGGTGGAGCTTACATCTTGTAGACGTGGAGCTTCACTCTTGTAGGACGTGGAGCTCACAGCTTGTAGACGTGGAGCTTACAGCTTGTAGACGTGGAGCTTACAGCTTGTAGAATTCAGCGACCCCGGTCCTTCTCAGGGACCCACCTTATATCCTCCCGGGTCGGGGCCGCTCCGCCCTTGGCCCACCCGCCTTCTCGAGCCTTTCAGCTCCATCCCAATCCCTCTCGAGAGTTCTCCCCGGACACGTGATCACCCCCTAGCCCCCCCCCCCCCCACCCCACCTAGGTTGACCCCTTAGACACGTAATTACGTGTCTACGGGGTCAACCAGAGTGCCACTGCCCGGGGCAACCCTGCCCCTGGGGCTGACGCTCTCCCACTCCCCCTTGTGGCGGCCCGCACTGGACGCTCTGGCGCGGTGCCCGGGCTATCCCAGCGCTCATCGTGCCCCGCCGGGGCTGGTGCTACACCCGCCTACGGGGTGCTGCTGCGCCAGAGCCGGCCTCGCACAGCAACCCACCCGGTGCTGCCCGCGATGTAAGGGACATCGCACGCCACCATACAGTGACACCCCCGATGTCACCGCTGTGCGTAACGAGCGCTGCCCTTGCAACCAATCCGTTCGGCGACGGGAAGCCAATGCAGCTCGGCGGCCGGCGGGAGGACGCGGACGGGCCTTGCCGTGCCCCGTCGCGGTACCAGCTGTGCGCACGCTCCAGCTCGGTCATGCTTTTGGCAGAAAGCGTTTCAACGCAAATCGACAAACGTCAAACAATGGCACAGACTAGCGAGAGCGTCGGATTCTTTTCTCCCGCGGTTTAAAGGGGCGGCGCTGCGAGTGTCCGTAGCGGTTAGCGCATCTTTAACAGCGGCTGCTGCAGAGGGGTCGATATCAGCGAGTATTACTATTATTACGATTACGTTTGTTGTTTGGTTTTGTAAATGTGTAATTGTGTGGAATGCTTTGGTGTTGCCTGCCGGCCGAGTCATACCTGAAAAAGAGCTTATTAGCTCTTTTGGGCTTTAATCGGTGGGTAATACACTCCTCTGTCTGACTTCTGATACCTGTGTGTGTATCTCTGTGTATCTCTATGTATGTATCTCTAGGTATGTATATCTATGTATCTCTGTGTATGCATGTATGTATCTCTTTGTACGTGTATGTATCTCTGTGTATGTGTATCTTTACGTATGTATCTCTATTTATGTATCTCTATGTATCTCTGTGTATCTCTATGTATGTATGTGTATGTATCTCTATGTATGTCTATGTACACCTGTGTGTGCAGGCTGGTGTCGGGCGTGCTGCGGGTCTCCGAGGTGGAGTCTCGCGCCGTCAGGGCTGAGCTAACGTCGCTGCTCAGCCCTCAGATGGGGAAGGACGTGGTGTGGTTCCTGCAGCGCTGGGTCCAAGCTTACCTGCTGCCTGATGAGAAGCACTACGCACAGGTGAGTGAGTGAGTGGGTGAGTGAGTGAGTTAGCACACAGGTGAGTGAGTGGGTGAGTTAACACACATGTGAGTGAGTGGGTGAGTTAGCACACAGGTGAGTGAGTGGGTGAGTTACAATACAGGTGAGTGAGTTAACACACAGGTGAGCGAGTAGGTGAGTTAACACACAGGTGAGTGAGTGGGTGAGATAACACACAGGTGAGTAGGTGAGTTTACACAGGTGAGCGATGATGTGAGTTAACACACAGGTGATTGAGTGGGTGAGTGAGTTAGCACACAGGTGAGTGAGTGAGTGGTGAGTTAGCACACAGGTGAGGGAGTGGGTGGGTGAGTTAGCACACAGGTGAGTGAGTGGGTGAGTTAACACACATGTGAGTGAGTGGGTGAGTTAGCACACAGGTGAGTGAGTGGGTGAGTTACAATACAGGTGAGTGAGTGAGTTAACACACAGGTGAGTAGGTGAGTTAACACACAGGCGAGTGAGTGCTTGAGATAACACACAGGTGAGTAGGTGAGTTAACACACAGGTGAGCGATGAGGTGAGTTAACACACAGGTGAGTCGGTGAGTTAACACAGAGGTGAGCGAGTAGGTGAGTTAACACACAGGTGAGCGAGTAGGTGAGTTAACACACAGGTGAGCGAGTAGGTGAGTTAACACACAGGTGAGTAGGTGAGTTAACACACAGGTAAGTAGGTGAGTTAACACACAAGTGAGTGAGTGGGTGAGTTAACACACAGGTGAGCGATGAGGTGAGTTAACACACAGGTGAGTGCGTGGGTGAGTGAGTTAGCACACAGGTGAGTGAGTGGGTAAGTTAACACACAGGTGAGTAGGTGAGCTAACACACAGGTGAGTAGGTGAGTTAACACACAGGTGAGTAGGTGAGTTAACACACAGGTGAGTGAGTGGGTGAGTTAACACACAGGTGAGTAGGTGAGTTAACACACAGGTGAGTGAGTGGGTGAGTTAACACACAGGTGAGTAGTGAGTTAACACATAGGTGAGTGAGTGGGTGAGTTAACACACAGGTGAGTAGGTGAGTTAACACACAGGTGAGTGAGTGGGTGAGTTAACACACAGGTGAGTAGGTGAGTTAACACACAGGTGAGTGAGTGCTTGAGATAACACACAGGTGAGTAGGTGAGTTAACACAGGTGAGCGATGATGTGAGTTAACACACAGGTGAGTGAGTGGGTGAGTGAGTTAGCACACAGGTGAGTGAGTGAGTGAGTGGGTGAGTTAACACACAGGTGAGTGAGTGAGTGAGTGGTGAGTTAGCACACAGGTGAGTGAGTGAGTGGGTGGGTGAGTTAGCACACAGGTGAGTGGGTGGGTGAGTTAAACACATGTGAGTGAGTGGGTGAGTTAGCACACAGGTGAGTGAGTGGGTGAGTTACAATACAGGTGAGTGAGTGAGTTAACACACAGGTGAGTAGGTGAGTTAACACACAGGTGAGCGATGAGGTGAGTTAACACACAGGTGAGTCGGTGAGTTAACACAGAGGTGAGCGAGTAGGTGAGTTAACACAGAGGTGAGCGAGTAGGTGAGTTAACACACAGGTGAGCGAGTAGGTGAGTTAACACACAGGTGAGTAGGTGAGTTAGCACACAGGTAAGTAGGTGAGTTAACACACAGGTGAGTAGGTGAGTTAACACACAGGTGAGTAGGTGAGTTAACACACAGGTGAGTGAGTGGGTGAGTTAACACACAGGTGAGTGAGTGGGTGAGTTAACACACAGGTGAGTGAGTAGTGAGTTAGCACACAGGTGAGTGAGTGAGTGGGTGAGTTAGCACACAGGTGAGTGAGTGAGTGGTGAGTTAGCACATAGGTGAGTGAGTGAGTGGGTGAGTTAGCACACAGGTGAGTGAGTGGGTGAGTTACAATACAGGTGAGTGAGTGGTGAGTTAGCACACAGGTGAGTGAGTGAGTGGGTGAGTTAGCACACAGGTGAGTGAGTGAGTGGGTGAGTTAGCACACAGGTGAGTGAGTGAGTGGTGAGTTAGCACACAGGTGAGTGAGTGAGTGAGTGGGTGAGTTAGCACACAGGTGAGTGAGTGGGTGAGTTACAATACAGGTGAGTGAGTGAGTTAGCACACAGGTGAGCGAGTAGGTGAGTTAACACACAGGTGAGCGAGTAGGTGAGTTAACACACAGGTGAGCGAGTAGGTGAGTTAACACACAGGTGAGTAGGTGAGTTAACACACAGGTGAGTAGGTGAGTTAACACACAGGTGAGTAGGTGAGTTAACACACAGGTGAGTAGGTGAGTTAACACACAGGTGAGTGAGTGGGTGAGTTAACACACAGGTGAGTGAGTGGTGAGTTAGCACACAGGTGAGTGAGTGAGTGAGTGGGTGAGTTAGCACACAGGTGAGTGAGTGAGTGAGTGGTGAGTTAGCACACAGGTGAGTGAGTGAGTGGGTGAGTTAGCACACAGGTGAGTGAGTGGGTGAGTTACAATACAGGTGAGTGAGTGGTGAGTTAGCACACAGGTGAGTGAGTGAGTGGGTGAGTTAGCACACAGGTGAGTGAGTGAGTGGGTGAGTTAGCACACAGGTGAGTGAGTGAGTGGTGAGTTAGCACACAGGTGAGTGAGTGGGTGAGTTAGCACACAGGTGAGTGAGTGGGTGAGTTACAATACAGGTGAGTGAGTGAGTTAGCACACAGGTGAGTGAGTGGGTGAGTTACAATACAGGTGAGTGATTGCCAGGTTACAGGTGAGTGGGGTTACAGATGCCGCTCGCCATAAGCGAATGGCAAATGTAGTGCAGCGGTCAGCGCACTGCGCTACAAATTCGGCGACCCGGGATCTATTCCCACTCATGCTCGACACCAGTGATGATTATCTGAACTGATCCTGGGTCTCCCCTAGATCGACTCAGCCTCAAATAAGTACCTGGTGCTGTGTGTAAACATCGCCACTGGGGAGACAAAGGCGGCAGGGCGTGTTGCTGGCCACCCACCCCCATGCGTTACTGTTCCTGCCTTTTCACAGGTGCTCGCTAACAGGACTTGCCGAACAGCATGTTAAGGCTACAGAAGGGGGGGGCATGGGATCTTTGGCTTTGTGTGCACACACGTGTGTGTGTGTGTGTGCTTGAGTGTGTGTGTGTGCGCGCAGGTGAGTGGTTGAGTGTGTGTGTGTGCACAGGTGAGTGGTTGAGTGTGTGTGTGTGCGCAGGTGAGTGGTTGAGTGTGTGTGTGCGCAGGTGAGTGGTTGAGTGTGTGTGTGTGTGTGCGCAGGTGAGTGGTTGAGTGTGTGTGTGTGCGCAGGTGAGTGGTTGAGTGTGTGTGTGCACAGGTGAGTGGTTGAGTGTGTGTGTGTGTGTGCACAGGTGAGTGGTTGAGTGTGTGTGTGTGCACAGGTGAGTGGTTGAGTGTGTGTGTGTGTGTCCGCCCCCCTCCCCCGTGTGCGCAGCTGAGCCTTCCGTTTACGGCCGCCTTCGGGCAGGACACGGAGGGCGCGCAGTGGATCGTGGGATATCTCCTGGAGAAGGTGGCGAGCAACCTGTCGGTGTGGAGCTCCGAGCTGGAGCTGGCCAGCGACTCGGTGCAGCTGCTCATCACCATGGTGGAGCGCAAGGACAGGTGCGTCCGTCCGTGCGTGCGTGCGTCCGTGCGTGCTTCCGCACCGCCGATTAGCACAGTTGGCTACGTACGGTACGGGAGAAGTTCAGCATACCTGCGTGTGTATGCGCTCGCGTGCGTGCGTGCGTATGTACGTGCATGCCCGTGGACAGAAGAGCGACGCTCGCAACAGGGAGCAGGACGCGCTGGGCGGGTAGTAGGGGGGCACAGGTGGTGCATCAGCCAGTCATCTCAGTCGGTGAACTCGTGACACCGCGGGTCTCTCCCGTGACCCCCTGCCAGCAGCGAGCCTTCGACACTTTCACGCGGCCTCGAAGTCGCACCCGGCCTGGCGCAGGAGGATTGCGGTGAGAGGTCACCGCCACTTGGCGGCAAGCGCCCGCTGCTGTAGTTGTTGTTGCTGCTGTTTGTTGTTGTTGTTTGTTGTTGACGACGTGTCGCTCAGGGCGAACATGGTGATGAAGTGCGAGACGCTGTGGGGGCTGGCCAAGCGCTACGCAGCGCAGGCTCCGCCGCTGGCCACGCTGCCGGGGCCCGTGCAGCGCAAGCTGGTGCGGGCCCTCGTGCTCGCCGGCTCCGCCAGCCTGGACGACGACAGCTCCAGCCGCTACTGGGCCGAGGTGAGCTTTGCCATGGGCCAGCGGTCAGTTGCGAGCGGTGAGTTGCGAGCGGTGAGTTGCGAGCGGTGAGTTGCGAGCGGTGAGTTGCGAGCGGTGAGTTGCGAGCGGTGAGGTGCGTGCGGAGTGACACATGCGGTGTTGTGTGTCCGGTGAGGTTTGTGGTGTGGTGTGTGCGGTGTGTGAGTGAGTGAATGTGTGGTGTGGTGTGGTGTGTGTGGGTGAGTGTGTGTGTGTGCGGTGCGGTGTGTGAGTGAATGTGTGGTGTGTGTGTGCGAGTGTGTGTGTGTGCGGTGCGGTGTGTGAGTGAATGTGTGGTGTGTGTGGGTGAGTGTGTGGTGTGGTGTGGGTGAGTGTGCGGTGTGGTGTGTGTGGGTGAGTGTGTGGTGTGGTGTGGGTGAGTGTGCGGTGTGGTGTGGGTGAGTGTGGTGTGTGTGGGTGAGTGTGTGGTGTGTGTGGGTGAGTGTGTGGTGTGTGCAGTGCGAGTGTGTGTGGTGTGTGCGGTGCGGTGTGTGTGGTGTGTGCGGTGCGGTGTGTGCGGAGAAGTCTGCGGTGCCTGGGTGAGCAGTGGGTGGGTTGGCGGCGAACGGTGAGGTGCGTAGGAGTGGATTTGGGGGGATGTGTGCTTTGAGATGTGCTGCATGCACTGTGTGATTGGCACGCACGGTTGACTACGCACGATGTAAACAAAGTTCTACATATATATGTGGTGCCGGGTGTACAGCACTGTGCTGCACTCCCAAACCCTGCACAGCCACCGACTCCAGCTTCTCATCGCTCTGCACCATCATAACCACCATCACCACCACCACCATCATCACCGCCATCATAACCACCACCACCATCATCACCTCCACCATCATCACCGCCATCATCATCATCACCATCATCATCACCACCACCATCACCACCACCATCATCACCCTGGATGCCGTAATCCACGATGGAACTCCGCGTTCCGTCTCCCCCCGCCACCAGATCCTGCACCCGCTGGAGAACCGCTTTGCCAGCGCCCTGGCTCACCTCGACCCGCGCCGGCTCGCCACCGCAACCGCCGCCGCAGCCGCCGCCACGAGCGCCGGCGGCATCGGCGGCTCTGCCCGCGCGGCGGCCGACGGCTCCGGAGACGGCGGCGGCGGCGGCGGCGGCGGCGGCGGCGACGCCCCCGCCGTCTCCGGCGCGGCGTCCCGGGGCGGCGCCGATGGAGACGCGGCGGCGCTGGCGGCGCTGGCGGCGCAGCGCGAGCTCTGCGCCGTCCTCGAGGGCCTGTGCGGCATGGCGGAGGCGGCTCGCGCCGACAACGCGCCGCGCCTCTTCGGCTTCACGCTGCCCTTCCTGCAGCGCGGCGCCGGCCTGGTCACGGCCTGCGCACCACGGCGCCCGACGTCGCCAACCTCGTCCTGGAGCTCTTCGTCGAGGTGGCGCACCGCCAGATCTGCTACCTGTCCGAGGTGAGGGGGCGCCGCTTGCTGCTTGACAAGCGAGACTCCCGCGTGCCGGGCGTGGCGCTGGCTACCCGGCCCGCCCGTCGCGCGCCCGTTCCGGCCTGCGGCGATGCTGCTGCCGCTCGCCGACAGAGACGAAGATCCCCCGTGTAGCTTTAACAGACATGTGGGGCAAGTGCTGTTAGCGTGTAGCACCTACGAAGGCCGGCACGGCACACGAGGGGGGTGGGTGGCCAGGCACCGCGCCCGGCCGCCTTTGTCTCCCCAGTGGCGATGTTTACTACACACCGCACCGGGCCAAGTCCACCTAGGGGGAGGCCCAGGACCGGTTCAGATAATCGTCGCTGCTTTTGGCCGTGAGCGGGAATCGAACTCCTTGTCCCCAACGGTCTGTTGAGGCTATACGGGGCGGGGGGGGGGTGTGGAACCTTTGTCTTTGCAGTCCAAGGCTCTGAAGCTGTACGAGACTTGCCTGGAGCTCCTGCGCGCTTACTCGAAGCACGCGCTGGGCTGGACGCGGGCGGAGGTGTGCGCCGAGGAGGAGCAGTACCAGGACCTGCTGCTCATCATGGAGCTGCTCACCAATCTCCTGTCCAAGGAGTTCATCGACTTCAGCGACGCGGGTGAGCGGCAGCACGGGGCATAGGTGCCCCTCCGCCTCCGGTGTGCCACGTGTCGTTGTCGCAGGGCCGTCGGGGCAAGCGCTGCTGCGTTCACGCTCCCTCTTGCCGACTCGCTCACTTTTACTAGACTGAACTATTTTTTTTTTGTTTTGCCACGTAAGGGCCCACACTGAGCGACTGTGTAGCTCTTTTACCGAAGCGACCCTGGCTATCGCTAAACGATAGCCTCAACGTATGCGGCTCATCATCGTGCGGACATTTTCAGCGGCTAAGACTCTAAAATCCGTTAAAGTTGATTCTAAATGTGGAGGGGAAAAACCGGAGCACCCGGATAAAAATCCACGCGACCACAGAGAGACACACGCAAACTCCAAATACACAGCGGCAGGCGACAGGGTCGGGATCGAACCCACGACCTCCTGTACACCAGGCGAGGTAGTTAGCATCTCCTAGCCACCGTGATGATGATGTGAGACACGCAGACTCCAAATATACAGCAGCAGGTGTCAGGGTCAGGATCGAACCCACAACCTCCTGCTGCATACCAGGCGAGGGAGTCAACATCTCGCCACTCTGGCACAGGTAAAAGTCCCCCGTGTAGCCTCCGCAAAGCTGACGGGGCAAGTGCTGTTAATGAGTAGCACCTACGAAGGCTGGGACGGCACACCAGGGGGTGGCCAGCACCACGCCCGGCCGCCTTTGTCTCCCCATGCTGCACCAGGTGGCCGGCTGAATAAAAAAGCAAAGCAGCTCCTTCTTGGCGGAGCGCCCACCGCCCCCCCCACCCAGCGGGCAATTGCAGGGCTGCGCCTCTATCTCTCGCGACAGACGAGGGCTTCCACGCGGAGGTGCAGGTGCGGGGCGAGGGCACGCAGGTGTCGGCGTCTGACGTGGTGCTCTACGGCCTCGACATCGTGCTGCCCCTCATGAGCCACGACCTTCTCAAGGTCAGGGACACGCACGCACGCACGCACGGACGGGTCGCTCGAGGTACCGGAGCGTGTCTGTGTGTGTGGGAGAACGTGTGTCTGTGTGAGTGTGTGTAGGGGGGAGCGGTGGTGTAGCGGTCAGCGCGCTGCGCTACGAACCCAGCGACCCGGGTTCGATTCCCGCTCACGGCCAAAAGCAGTGACGATTATCTGAACCGGTCCTGGGCCTCCCCTAAGTGGACTCGGCCTGGTGCGGTGTGTAGTAAACATCGCGACTGGGGAGACAAAGGCGGCCTGGCGTGGTGCTGGCCACCCCACCCCCTCGTGTGCCGTGCCGGCCTTCATAGGTGCTCCCTAACAGCACTTGCCTCACATGTCTGTTAAGGATATACGGGGGATCTTTGTCTTTGTTACGTATTTAGGTGAGCACCTGCCGCTGCATTGTGACGCGCTTGCGGCTGCGTTGTGACGCGCGCGGTTGTTGTTCCTCCTCCTGCCGTGCCACCACAGTTCCCATCACTGTGCAACCACTACTTCAAGCTGATCACCTTCATCTGCGAGCTCTTCCCCGAGAAGATCGCCGCTCTCCCCGAGGAGCTCTTCAAGAGCTTCATGCTCTCCCTGGAGCTCGGCATCACCGCGTATCCTCGCTCGCTCGCTCGCTCACACATACACAAAGATAACAAAGATCCCCCATATAGCCTTAACAGACTGTCGGGGCAAGTGCTGTTAGCGAGCGGCACCTATGAAGGCCGGCACGGCACACGAGGGGTTGAGCGGCCAGCACCACGCCCGACCGCCTTTGTCTCCCCAGTGGCGATGTTTACACACCGCACCAGGTACTCGTTTGAGGCTGAGTCGACCTAGGGGAGGCTTAGGACCGGTTAAGATAATCGCCACTGGTGTTGGCCGTGAGCGGGAATCAAACCCGGGTCGCCAGGTTCGTAGTGCAGCGCGCTCACCGCTGCACCACCGCTCCCCACACACACACACGCACATGCACACACTTACCCACCCACCCGCTCGCTCGCATACACACACCCACTCGCTCACTTGCTCACTCACCCGCACACTCGCTGCCTCGCTCGCTCACTCACCCGTCCACTCGCTCGCTCATTCGATAACATAACACGCTTGCCCGAACACACACTCAGCAGCCCAACACCCGTTCGCTCATTCACTCGCCCGCCCGCCGGCCCGCTCATTCGCTCGCACCGAGCCCTCCGCGGCGACGCGTAGGCCGGCACTGCGGCGTTGGTAACGGTAAAGGCGCGGCCCCCTGCGATTTCTTGGCCTCGCCGACTGCCGGCGGAAGGTGCCCCCCTCGAGAGAGGGGGGGTAGCTCTGGAGAGAGCCCCTCCTCCGCAGAGGCTATTGTGGCCTCCGGTAAGTGGCGGCGGAGAGAGTTGTTGGGTGGGGGGGAAAGCGGGAGGGGGGGGGTACCGCGTGGCACCATCCCCCCCACCCCGTGGTGAAGGTTCCGGTCTCCTCGTCGCCCCGGTGGCTTTGGCCCCTTGACCGTCGCTCGTGGCTCAGCTTCAGCAGCGACGTGGCCCAGCTGTGTCTGGAGGCGCTGTCGCCCCTCGTGGAGCAGTGCGTCAAGTCCCAGCAGAGCGACACGCCGCTCCACCTCGCCACGCGACACTTCCTCAAGGTGCCGCACCACACAGCACCACGCTCACCACGCTCACCACGCTCACCACGCTCACCACGCTCACCCGACCCCTCGACAAGGTGGGGAGGGGAGCTCCGTGCCCCCCTCCACCCCACACCACACCCGCCCCCAAAGACAGACAAAGATCCCCCGTGTATAGCCTTAGACTGTTGGGGCAAGTGCTGTTAGCGAGCAGCAGCATCTGTGAACGCCTCCACCCCCCCCACCCACCACCGCCACCTTCCCACACCCCCACCTACCCAGCAAAACATCCCCACCCACACCCACCCACCGCTGACCCCCACAGGGCTGCATTGTGTTTACCATTGTCGCGGTTTGTTATCGTCCGTTATCGTCGGTTATTTGCCTTCGTTTATTGTTGCCGTCTCTCCTGCGTTGCCTTGCCCGTCGTGTGCCCGTCGTCGTCCTAACCGTTGTCGCGACGACGCGCAGGTGGTGGTGGACGTGGTGCTCCTGAAGAAGTTCGACACGGACCTCATCACGTCGGCCGGAGAGGCCCTCTACTGCCTCATCTGCCTCCACCAGGTGGCGTCACGCCCCCCACCCCGCCCAGTACACAAAGACAAAGGTGTCCCCCGCACTGCCTTGAGCAGACTGTTGGGGCAAGGGCTCTTCGCGAGCAGCAGGCTGCTTGAACACAACGACAAAGCTCTCCCATACAGACTATATCGGACTGTTGGGGCAAGCGCTGTTATCGCGAGTAGCAGCTATGAAGGCCGGAACGGTGCGAAGTGCACGAATACAAAGACAAAGATCCCCCGCACAGCCTTTAGCCGACTGTTGGGTGCAAGTGCTTTTACGCCTACAAAGGCCGGCATGATACGCACAGTGCACGAATACAAAGACAAAGATCCCCACATAGCCTTTAGCCGACTGTTGGGTGCAAGTGCTTTTACACCTACGAAGGCCGGCATGATACGCACAGTGCACGAATACAAAGACAAAGATCCCCCGCATAGCCTTGAGCAGACTGTTGGGGCAAGTGCTTTTACGCCTACGAAGGCCGCGAATACGCAGTTATCCCTGTACAGCTGTTAGCAGACTGTAGGGCAAGTGCTGTTCGCGAGTAGCACCTCCGTGAATGCCGGCACGGCACGCAAGGGGGTGGGTGGCCAGCATCACCACGCCTGGGGCCGCCTTTGTCTCCCCACTTTTTATGTTTACACAAACCGCACCCAGAGAGGCCCCAGGATCGGTTGTGGTAACAGTCCACTGACGTCGGCCGTGAGCGGGAACTTAACTCGAGCGGCGATTGGCTCGATTGAAAACCCACTTCTTTAGAACCGCTTGTTGTTGTTCTATTTAGTTTGGTGTCCTTCCCCCCCCCCGCACTTCCGATTAGCAGCACGGTTGCCTACATGCAGTGCGATAGAAGTTCAGCGTACACGTGTGTGTACACATCGTACACACACGTGTACGATGTGTACACGCACACCGCACCAGATGCACGTTTAAGGATGAGTCGACCTTGGTCGGGGGGGGGGGGGAAGGCCCAGGACAGGTTCAGATTTCAGACATCCGTCACTGACGGTGGCCGCGAGTGGGAATCGGACTCGGCTCACCAGGTTTGTACCGCGGTGCGCTAACCTCCCCCCCCCCCCCCCCCCCCCTGCGGCCCCACCCCCCCCCCCCCCCCCCACCCCACCCCACCACACGCCAGGCCGAGTACTCGGAGCTGGTGGAGGTGCTGCTGTCACGTCAGACTGACCCCTTGGCCTACCAGAGGCTCGCCGACGCCTTCAACAAGCTGACGCCGGGCCAGCTGGCGCTGTCGCTGGAGCGCAAGCACAAGACGCAGTTCCTCAAGAACCTCGAGGAGTTCCTCTCCAACGTCCGCGGCTTCCTCTGCGTCAAGTGAACACGGCGGCAGGCGGGCGGGCGGGCGGGCGGGCGGGCGGGCGCGGTTCACGTGCGCCGGGGTTCACTCGCTCGCACGGCCCGGCTTGCAGGACTCGGCTAGGGGTGGCACGAAGGATTTTTTTTTTGTTTAAATTTTTTTTTTTTTCTCTCCTCCATACGAAGTTGGCGCCGCCGCTGCTACCGCCGAGGCCACCGTGACGCTGCCGGCGGCTGCGATGACCGGGCGGGCGGGCGGGCGTCTCTCCCGCGCGCTGCGCTTCCGTGTTCGCGCGGCCCCCGTGTCCGACGTTTCTTGGTTGCGAGTGCCGCGTCCCGACGTTTCAACTCCGCGTCGATGGGGGCAGCTTGGTTTTGGGGGGGGGAGGGAGGGAGGGGGGGGAGGCGGGCGGGCGGCCGCTATGTCCGACGTTTCGTGCCCACGCGTGCCGGGAGCCTTTTTACAAATCGAGCATCTCCCGGAAGCCGTCGTGGTTTTGTGCGCTTCGTGCGTGTCCGTTGGGCCTACGACCCCAGGCCCGGAACGTCAGACATCGACGCCGAACAACAACAACAACAACGCGCGGCACAACGGGAACGCGCGTGGGAGAGCTGCGAAGGGTGACTCTTTAATTGCTAAATTAACGCCATGACACCCCCACCCCCTCCCGCCTGCCCCCTCCCCCACCACTGTAGCTGCCTTCAGAAGGATCCCCCACTCTGTTGTCTGTCGATCGATCGTAGGAAACACGATCGTGTGTACCTTTGTGCGCGCGTTTGTAACACTTAAACCCGCGCGCGTGCGTGCGATTCCTCGAGGCGGAGATGAGTGAGGTGAGTGTGATTGAGTGTTTGTATTACGGCGGGGAGCAGCGGTTGGCGCGCTGCGCTTTGAATCCGCCGCCGACCCCGAGGTTCGATCCCCGCTCGCGGGCCACCGACGTCTCTGATGGCTATCCGAGCTCTCCGCTTCTCACCCCTCGGGTCGACTCAGCCTTAAATGAGCATCGAGCGCAGTGTGATAAAACTTGAGCGCTGGAGGGGAGGAGTCAAAGGCGGGCCGGGCAGTGGCGTTGGCCAACCCCCGTCCCCTCTGCGTGTGCCACAGTGCCCGGCCTTCGTAGGCGCTGCGACTCGCTACTAACAGCACTTGCCCCTACCTGGTGTGTGGTGGCTAAACATCGTCACTGGGGAGACAAAGGCGGCCGGGCATGGTGTTGGCCACCAGCCCGCCCCCTTAAGGGTGAGCCGTGCCGTCCTTCGTAGGTGCTACTCACGAGCAGTATACTTGCCCCTAACAGTCTCTTGAGGCTATACGGGGGTATCTTTGTGTGACTGTGTGTGTGTGTGGGGAGCGGGAGCGGGAGCGTAACGGACGGTGCACTGCCCTACTAACCCCGCGACCCAAGTTCGATTCCCGCTCATGGCCGCCAACACCGGTGACGATTATCCGAACCGGTCCTGGGCTTACCCCTAGGTCGACTCGGCCTCACAATGAGTAGCTGGTGCAGTGTGAGCATGTGTGTGTGTGCGAACGAGTGTGTGTGTGTGTGTGTGCGCGCGATTCCTGGAAGCAAGTGAGGTATGGCTGATTGAGCGAGCGAGTGAGTGCGACAGTCTTTTTAAACTTTTCTACGAACTGGAGGGAGTTTGGCCGTGTGGGCTGAGATCGTAACGATCGTTACGTGAGTGTGGCTTTGTGGGGTTTTGTTTTTGTCCGCGACACCGCTGTGTGTCGTCGTTTCTTGTGCTTGTTGCCATCTTGCGTACGGAACCGCGGGTGACGCGCGTGCCGACTCGGCAAATTCGTGTCCGCGGGGTGTGCGTGCGTGCGGCAGCGTGCGTGTGTGACAACGTGCATGTGTGTGGCGGTGTGCGTGTGCGGCAGCGCGCGTGTGTGTGTGTGTGCGTGGCACCGCGTGTGTGTGGCAGTGTGCGTGTATGCGGCAGCGTGTGGGGAGCGGTAGTGTAGCGGTTAGCGCGCTGCGCTGCGAACCCAATGGCCGGAGTTCGACACCGATTATCTGAACCGGTCTTAGGCTTCCCTAAGGTCGGCTCAGCCTCAAGTGAGTATCTGGTGCGGTGTGTAGTAAACATCGGCACTAGGGAGACAAAGGCAGCCGGGTGTGGTGGGTATCCACCTTACTCCCTCGTGTGCCGTGCCGGCCTTCAGAGGTGCTCGCTAACAGCACTTGCCCCAACAGTCTGTCAAGGCTACACGGGGGGTCTTTGTCTCTGTTTGTCTTTGTGTGTGGCAGTGTAGTGTGTCTCTGTGGTGCCATGTGTGTACCCTGTAACATTTTCACAGGTCAGGTGATACCAATTCCAACAACAATAACTGTCACAGTGTCCCATGCATGATGAGTAGGGATGCGATTCTTATCCGCCAAGGTTCCGTTACCCACGAGTCGATTATTATTATCGTTGCGTAGCCCTTATGGTGCTTGTAGGATCTATAGCAGTATGGATCTATAGGAGTCTATAGTTATGAAATAATAATGGTAATTTACCGCCCCTTTGCCAATCCACTGCCGGATGAAGGCTTCTCTTCCCTACACCGTGCCGGTTCGAGGGGGTTGTTTGACCAGTCTTCAACACGCCCGTCAACGTGGTGGGGACTAGGTTGGTTGGGCGAGTGGGTTAGTGTGGGTTAGTAGACCAGGACCAGTTCAGAGCCCGCCGATGTTAGCCGTGGGCCCTGGTTCAAACGTAGATCGCGGGATCGTAGCAAACCGCTGCGCATCCGCTCCCACCCCCCCCCCCCCCATAGGACCTATCGTGCCGTGAATTTATGAGACCGGATCACGAGTTGCCGTACAGTTCGCAGAGGGAGCTCTTGAGGCTGGGCTCGGGCAGGAGTCGACAGCACGGGTGACTGGGGGGGGGGAGTTCCAGACGTGGGGGCAGCAGAGGAGATTGAGCGACCTCCCACTGAGCAGAGGTTTTGACTGGGGGCTTCCACAGCAAGCCTTGGCCGCCCGAGTGGAGAGTGCGTGGAGGCGAGTGGAGCGAGATGACAGGGGAGAGGTAGCGGAGTGCGTGGAGGGGAGTGAAGCGAGATGAGAGGTAGCGGAGTGCGTGGAGGCGAGTGGAGCGAGATGAGAGGGGGAGAGGTAGCGGAGTGCGTGGAGGCGAGTGGAGCGAGACGAGAGAGGAGAGGTTGGGGGGGAGTGCGTGGAGGATGGCGGCAAGCTGTGTTCGTACTCGTGCGTGATCTGGGATTGAAGCGGAGGCCGTGGAGGAGAGGGATGCGAGGGTGGGGTTGAGCCTTGCCTACCTCTCTCTCTCTCCCCTCTCTCTCGAAAATCAAAACCGAATTTCCCGTCGCTCTCACCTCCCAGCGACGTGCCCCGTTTTGTCCGCGTCCTATTGAAGCCGCCGCTGCCGCCGGGCGACGCGTCGAGCCGTGGCGAGCTCGGCGACCGTGGCAAAATCCCCCGCGTTTGACCGTGTCCAAGGCCCAAGCCGAGCTACCACGTCGCTCTTTTTGAGAAGCGGACCCGCGATCACGAGCGGTGTAGCTCGACGAGGTCGGCTTGTCATCGCCGTGCGGACATTTATAGCAGCCAAGTATTTGTTTTATAAAAGAGCGCCGTCAATTTCTAAATTTAGAGGAGAAAACCTGGAGGACCCGGAGCAAAATCCACGCGACCGCGGGGAGAGAGACACGCAGACTCCAACTATACAGCAGCAGGCATCAGGGTGGGGATCGAACTCACGACCTCATGTATACCAGGCGAGGTAGTTAACATCTTCTAGCCACCGTGATGATGATGAGAGAGAGAGACACGCAGACTCCAGCTATACAGCAGCAGGCGTCAGGGTCGGGATCGAACCAACGACCTCCTGCAGACCAGGCGAGGTAGTCAACATCTCATAGCCACCGTGATGATGATGATGAGAGAGAGACACGCAGACTCCAAATATACAGCAGCAGGCGTAGGGTCTGGATCGAACCCACGACTTCCTGTATACCAGGCGAGGTAGTTAACATCTCCTAGCCACCGTGATGATGATGAGAGAGAGAGACACGCAAACTCCAAATATACAGCAGCAGGCGTCAGGGTCGGGATGGACCCCACGACCTCCTGCGTACCAAGTGAGGTAGCTAACATCTCCAAGCCACCGTGGCCCCAACAAGCGAACGCGCTTTGCGTGGTGCGAGTATTTTTGTACGTTTATACGCTCCGTACCCGCCCCCCCCCCTTCTCCCCCCACCGCTGTCGTGACGCCGCGAGGAGCGTTCGTGAAAGGCTTCGTTCATCCGACGGGGGACACAAACAACCAGCAGCGGGCGAATTCCCCCACAGCCGGAACCAACTCGCGGTCTCGGGGGGGCCGAGGGGAGACATCGTCGCGTCTCCTTGCAGGACAAATCGCAGTGGCGACGGAACCCCGAAAGGCATCGTCGGTGTTACGTAACAGCAGCGCATTTGTCAGTCCACTCCACTGCTGGATGGAAGGCTCCCCCCCCCCCCACCTTCTCCTCACGCCGCGTCAGTCGTGACTGTGTGGGAGGGTGGGGGGGGGACGAGGTTGCTTGAGCATACCTCACCGTGCCGGTCATTGTTGGTTGGTGAAGGCTGTCCGGGTGTTCCCACCCACACGAGTCGTGAACTCAAGGGGAGTTCATCCCTGGCCGTTTTTAACCTTCTGGCTTCATGCTCAGTTCTTGATGCGGACACGCGGGGGGCGGGGGGAGAGGGCGGGGCGGTGGGGGCTACCCCGAGTAGTGGGCGTGGTTAGCAAAGAGTGGGCGTGGATTAGTAATCGTGGGCAAGGGTTAGCCGAAAAGTGAGGCGGTGGCTACCTGAGTAGTGGACGTAGCTATCCAAACAGTGGGCGGGGCTGACTTCGGACATGGGTGAGGGGCTGACGATAGAGTGGGCGGGGACTGAGGGAGGGTGGGCGGAGCTTGGCTGCCGGTTCACAACCACGTGTGCCCTCGTTGAGCCTTCCGGAGCACGTGGTGAAAACGTGGCCTGCTTGTTAGTGAAGGGCATTCGATTGCTCACCGTCTAAAGTTGGCCTGACGGCACG